GTTTTTGGCTGGGGCTGGGTTTGAACCCACCATCTCCATCATATATGGCCGGTGCCTTACTCCTTTGAGCCACAGGCACCACCCCACACATTTAAAATTTTTTTACAGACAGGAGTCTTCCTGTATTTCCCAAGCTGGCCTTAAACACTGTGTTTCCCACCTCAGCCTCCCAAGTAGCTGGGACTATAGATATGCACCATCGTACCCAGCTTCTCAGGTTCTTCTTTAAACTGGAAATAAACTCTCAGCTAAGGGAGCTGAATATAAGAGCAGCCAAGGAAACTGAACTTTGTGGTGGTCAGAAAGCTTTCATAATCTTTGTTTCTGTTCCTCAACCGAAATCTTTCCAGAAAATCTAAGTATAGGCAGTGCATGAATTGGAGAAACCTTCAGTGGAAAGCATGCAGTCTTTATTTATGAGAGGAGCATAATGCCCATGCTAACTCAAAAAATCCATACAAAAAATAAGCAAAAACATCTTATGAGCCACATTCTGATACTTATGCATGATGAGATACTTGAGGACTTGGTCTTCTCAAGTGAAATTGTGAGCAGTAACAAAACCTGAGTGAGACTGAATGGCAGCTGGCTCGCTAAGGTTCATACGGAAAAAGCACAGAAGAAGCAAAGGCTGGAACCTCTTCTGGTGTTTACAAGAAGCTCATAGACAAGAATGTTAATTTGTTTGTTGCTGGCTTTTTTTTTTTTTGAGACAGTCCCACTATATCACCCTCGGTAAAGAGCTGTGGCACCACAGCTCACAGCAACCTCAAACTCTTGGGTTTAAGTGATTCTCTTGCCTTAGCCTCCCAAGTAGCTGGGACTACAGGAACCCGCCACAGTGCTCAGCTATTTTTTTTTTTTTTTTAGAGACAGAGTCTCGCTTTGTCCCCCTTGATAGAGTGCCATGATTATAGCAACCTCCAGCTCTTGGGCTTAGGTGATACTCTTGCCTCTGCCGCCTGAGTAGCTGGGACTACAGGTGCCCACCACAATACCTGGCTATTTTTTTGTTGCAGTTTGGCCAGGGCTGAGGTCAAACCCACCACCCTTGGCATATGGGGCCGGCACCCTACTCAAAAAATAGCCAGGCGTTGTGGTGGGCATCTGTAGTCCCAGTTACTGGCGCTGCCCCAATGCCCAGCTATTTTTTGTTGAGGTTGTCATCATTGTTGTTTAGCTGGCCTGGGCCGGGTTTGAACCCGCCAACTTCGAGCATTTTTTCTTTTTCTTTTTTTTTTTTGAGACAGAGTCTCACTTTGTTCCCTAGAATGCTATGGCATCATACCTCACAGCCACCTCAAAGTCTTGGGCTCAAGTGATTCTTTTGCCTCAGACTCCTGAGTAGCTGGAACTTCTGTTTTTTTCTTCTTTTAGTAGAGATGGGGTCTCCCTCTTGCTGGTTGCAAACTCTTGAGCTCAAGGGATCCAACCACCTTGGTCTTTCAGAGTGCTGGGATTACAGGAATGAGCCCCTGTACCTGCCTTTTTTTTTTTTTTTTTTAAAGACAGGGGTCTTGTCTCGGCGCCTGTAGCATACTGGTTACAGCGCCAACAGCACCAGCCACATACACCGAGGGTGGTGGGTTCGAACTGGCCTGGGCCAACTAAACAACTGCAACAAAAAAATAGCCAGGCATTGTGGAGGGAGCTTGTAGTCCTAGCTACTTGGGAGGTTTAGGCAAGAGAATTGCTTAAGCCCAAGAGTTTGAGGTTGCTGTGAACTGTGATGCCACGACACTCTACCAAGGGCAACATAGTGAGAATCTGTCTCAAAAAATATATATGTATATATAAAAAAAATAAAGGCAGGGTCTTCCTCTGTTCCCCAGAATGAAGTGCAGTAGTACAATCACAGCTCACTGCATTCTCTGACTCCCAGGCTCCCGTGATCCTCCTGGCTTAAGCTCCTAAGTAGCTGACTACAGGCACGTGCCCCCAGTGCTCAGCTAATTTTTCTACTTTTTGTACATATGGGTTCTTGCTATGTTGCCCAGGCTGGTCTTGAACTGTTGGCCTTAAATGATCCACCTACTTGGCCTTCTAAAGTATTGGGATTATAGATATGAGCCACTGAGTCTGACCCAAGATGTTACTACAATTTTGAATTCCCAAGTTTCAGTGGTAAACAGAAATGACTATATAAAATATCTCTTATACACAAAAATAATATAGTAGAATGAAGAACAAGAGGATTAAAACAGTACACTAGGAAATATCTAACACAAAAGAAGGAAGAAATGCAGGAATAGGGTGGTGCGTATGGCTCAGTACGGGTAAGGCACCAGCTCTATATACTGAGGGTAGCAGGTTCAAACCCAGCCCTGACCAAACTGCAACAGAAAAATAGCCAGGCATTGTGGCGGGCGCCTGTAGTTGGAGGTTGAGGCAAGAGAATCACCTAAGTCCAGGTTGCTGTGAGCTGTGTGACGCCATGGCACTCTACCGAGGGCGATAAAGTGAAACTCTGTCTCTACAAAAAAAAAAAAAAAGAAAAAAGAAAAACTCTTATAGGCTCAGCGCCCATAGCACAGTGGTTATGGTGCAGGCAGGCCACATGCACCAAGGCTGGTAGATTTGAGCCCGGCCCAGACCAACTAAACGATAGTGACAACTGCAACAAAAAAATACCGGGTGTTGTGGCGGGCACCTACATGAAGTTCCAGCTCCTTGGGAAGCTGAGGGAAAAGAATCACTTAAGCCCAAGAGTTTGAGGTTGTTGTGAGTTGTGACGCCACAGCACTCTACCTAGGGTGACATAGTGAGACTCTGTCTCAAAAACAAAAAAATGGGCTCGGCGCCTGCGGCTCAAACGGCTGAGGCGCCAGCCACATACACCTAGGGTGGCAGGTTCGAATCCAGCCTGGACCCGCCAAACAACAATAATGGCTGCAACCAAAAAATAGCCGGGCGTTGTGGCGGGCGCCTGTGGTCCCAGCTACTTGGGAAGCAGAGGCAGGAGACTCCCTTGAGCCCAGGAGTTGGAGGTTGCTGTGAGCAGTGAAGCCATAGTACTCTACCCAGGGGGACAGCTTGAGGGTCTGTCTCAAAAAAAAAAAATGATGGGAAGGTGCCCTAATCTTGACACCCACACAGGGATGCTGAGGCCATGGGTGGGCTGAGGACCAGGCCATGGGTGGGCTGAGGACCAGCCCATGAAATTATTAATAAACTGTCTCAAGTTGAGTATTTGAAGAAATAACCACTGAGCATAGGTGCTGAGCCAAAAAAAATATTTTTTTTTCTTTTTTAGAGACAGTGTCACTTTGCTGCCCTCAGTAGAGTGCTGTGGAGTCACAGCTCACAGCAACCTCCAGCTCTTAGGTGATTGGGCTTAGGTGATTCTCTTGCCTCAGCCTCCTGAGTAGCTGGGACTATAGGTGCCCACCACAATGCCTGGCTATTTTTTTGTTGCAGTTTGGCAGAGGCCAGGTTTGAACCCGCCACCCTCGGTATATGGGGCCATCACCCTACTCACTGAGCCACAGGTGCTGTCCCTCCCCCCAAAAAATTTTAATATGAAATTTGATTCTGAGAAACATGAGTTCCCAACCTGTAACATCTCATTCTGCTGTTCCTTTATAATATAAGATAGTATGGCATAAAATTAATAATACATACTTTGGAGTCAGACAGAATGTGCTACTTTCTTTAGCTTTTGACTCTGGAAAATTTACTCAACTCCTGGCCTCAATGTTCTCATGTGTAAAATGGGAATAATTGTCGCGACCCGTCGGGCTCCTGTGGCCCTGGTCTTGGTTAGTGCAGGAAGGAACCAGGTGAGAAGCGGATTAGAAGTACAAGCTTGTGGAAGGCGGGCTAGCCCTTACTTTCCGGGTAGCCCCGAGCAACTTCCGCACCAGCCTTTTATTGAACCAGAACAACACAGGTGAGGGGAGAAATTAACAATGACTACTTGCTGAGGGCACGGGCTCTTCTTCCACAAGGAGCTCCTGTGGAGGAATGGCCCGAGGTCCATGCCTCAGCTGCAGATCATCTTGCTGTGATGTTGGCATCTCCTACAAATAATTAATTTTTTTTTCTGCACAGGCTAAGTAATGACTTCTATCCTCCCATGCTTGAAATCATAGTCAATGGCATTTATCATGTAGTCTGATGTTCTGGTTCCTAGGTTAGATAACTCATTAATTCTTCACTCCCTGTTGTCTACTTAGTAGGTATGTTATTGTTTATACTATTCATCATGGTAGGTTTGGAGAAGAGATAGATTTTTATTACTTATTGGCAATGCTAATAAAATTTTGGTCAGGAAGGATTTTAGCAAAACCATTTGGAAGTTATGTAGAGAGATTTCAATTGTCTATTCATAATCATAGGCCATGTACCTAAGTACAGTAAACAAAGTCATGTTACTCCGTGTGGCCAATTCTATTCTTTTTTTTTTTTTTTTAGCCATTTCTATTCTACTGTAATTACCTTTTCTTAGACACTATCAGAGAATGAATAACAAATAAACCAGTTCCCTTAACTTTAATAAAAGAAAAGCTATTGGTGGCGCCCATAGCTCAGTGGGTAGGGTGCTGCCCACATACATGGAGGCTGGCAGGTTCGAGCCTTGGCCAGCTAAAACAACAATAACAACTGCAACAACGACAACAACAACAACAAAATTAGCTGGGTGTTGTGGTGGGCGCCTGTAGTCCCAGCTACTTGGGAGGCTGACACAAAAGAATTGCTTAAGCCCAAGAGTTGGAGATTGTTGTGAGCTGTGATGCCAGAGCACTCTATCCAGGGCAAAAGCTTGAGACTGTGTCTCAAAAAACAAAACAAAACAGAACCCAAAACAAAAAAAAAAGCTACATTTCAGACTTTTTATCTCTGATGCATGGAAGACAAAAGTGCCAAGTTAGTTTGAAACATATTCTGAACTTACCAGTTGTTTGTTGTGCTGTGGCAGAGGACATGGCTGGGCACCAGCTGGTACCTTGTATACCGGGGTTACTGACATACTGGCAGGATGGGCACATAAGAAGTGCACCTGCACAACCTCTATAGCTGGACAAGGATTCAGGACACCTGGGTGATTTCCAATTCGGAATGTGAGAACCTTAAGGAAATATCAGAGCAAGAGATAATTGTGGGTAGACACTTGCTGTCAGTCCTGCCAATGTAAATGTTAGAATTATTCATACTCCAATATAGAGAGTCCCTTATTGTTATAGTTCTTAGTTAACTGGACATTAAGGGTATCATGAAAATTTGAAAACAAATAGAAAATTTTTTAAAAATCTAACTTTATCAATTACTTGATAATTGATATCTTTTCCCTCCCTGAATCTTTTCTTACCAATCGGTAAAAAGTGGAAAAACTAATGTGTGTTTCATGTGTTTCAACCTGTATGTAGTGGAAGTACTAATGAATAACAAAGTGCAAATGAAAAGAAGTTAGGGGGCTTCAAGTGGGGGTTAATTAGGCCTGAAATTACTAACAGTTCACTCAATAATCTAGGAGAAGAAGGAAACATAATAAAAGCCTTATATGAAAAATCCACAGCTGGCTGGGTGTGGTGGCTTACACCTGTAATCCTAGCACTCTGGGAGGCCGAGATGGGTGGATAGCTTGAGCTCACAAGTTCAAGAGCAGCCTGAGCAAAAAGCAAGACCCCTGTCTCTATTAAAAATAGAAAAACTGAGGCAAGAGGATTGCTTATGCCCAAGAGTTGGAGGTTGCTGTGAGCTATGATGGCATGGCCCTCTACCCAGGGTGACAGCTTGAGACTCTGTCTCA